ACGGCATAGGTATAGAATCTTCTAATGAAAAGGAAGGCAAGGCGATACCAAGTAATGGTAGACTGCTTCAAACTTAGAAAGATAAGGGTAAAATTCAAGGTAACCACAAAGAAAGTTAACAAACATACTCATAAAAATAAAGAGGAAAAACATAAAGTCACAGCAAAAACAAAACCTACAAAAACAGAAGAAATGAAAAAAAAAATCCACAAAAAAAAGTAACTCAGCACAGGACAATAAGAAGAACAAACAAAACGTCTGCACCACAAAAAAAAGCACTACAAAATGACAGCAACAAACTCACATCTATCAACAATTACACCAAATGTAAATGGACTCAATGCACTCATAAAGAGACGGAGAGTGTCAGAATGGATAAGAGAACAGGATCCATCAATATGCTGTCTACAAAAGACACACCTTAAAAACAAAGATGTGAATTTATTAAAAGTCAAAGGTTGGAAAAAAATTTATCAAGCTAACAACTACCAAAAAAGAGCAGGAGTGGCAATACTAATCTCAGATAAAACAGACTTTAAAACAAAATCCACCATAAAAGACAAAGAAGAAAAAAAAAAAAAAAAAAGACGAAGAAGGATACTATATAATGATTAAGGAGGATGTTCACGCACTGTGAAGAATGTAACAATTGTCCCTGAACCATTTGTGTAAAAATTGTTGAATGGGAACCCAAACTGCTGTATAACCTCCACCATTTACTACTGAAAAGACAATAATATATTATTAAAAACACAAATCCCCCAAACACCATTATCCTATTTCTTTGCTTCTGTAGCCTAATACTTCAACGAAATAAAAACAGATTTCCTTAAAATGTTTTATATCAATTAGTTATACCACTTTTTTCCTTTTTTAACTTTACATACTCTTAAGCATGTGAGGTCTGCAATTAAAATTTTTCAATGAGTGCAATGTCTCATTTACCCAATACTACAGGTAAAAAAAAATTTGTTCTATTTAAGTTGATTTTACAACTCATCCAATAATAATAACTACCATAATAGCAGTAACATCTACCATTTGAGTACTAGATGCCAAGCACTTTGCTAAATATTTTGCATTATCTTTTAAAATTTTCAAAACAATCTTATCAGCTAGGTACGTATACTGTCTTCTCCATTCTGTTTCTTTTTTATTTTGTATCTCTTGTTCTCTGAATTGTTTGTACTACACATCCCTGCTTCTCCAATGACTGTCAGATGTAATACCAGACATCTTTAGATGACTGGAGCAGAGATGGACATCAAAACCAAAGGCAGCTCATCCACAGACCAGCAACATGAGTTTCTGAACAAAAATGTGCGAGATGCTTCCAATGCTTCCCTGCTTTCTGAAACACTATGTCATTTTGAGACTCAGGACATACATAGTATACTGTAAGAGTGTTACCCTCAGGTATCCTTTGTCCTTGAATGGCCTCAGATTTTATTCTTTCATATTTTTCTGTTTGCCTAATTACTTATCCATAGTCCATCTTAACAGGTATCTCCCTGTACAGTGATAATGGTCCTCCCTCTAGGCTGTAGCTATACTCTGAATGGTCAGATGTGATAGCAGTCTGACCCCTACAGAAATACAGAATACCTGTATAATATAAATTCCATGCTCACCTGGAAGTTGTTCATTAGGCCGTAGGAACAAGGGCTGGTTTCACAAGATGAAAAGTCAAAGTTTAATTTGCAGGCTGCAGAAGTACAGTTTGTTAACTCTGTCACAATAGTGTCATTAATGTTTCCAGTGGCATCCCGAACAACACAAGAACCTGAAGCACAAGTGACAATGAGAACAAATAATATAGCTAACATCTATAGTCATTTCAGAATTACATATACCCGTAAAGAAACTATGCTTATAACAGCATACACTGCATTTACAGTTAACAGCTTCATCATGAACAGAATTTGGAAAGCATTATGTACCCCAATTTTTAAAGAGTGAAATGGAACCTTTAATAAGTAAATCATATGTACTATAAAAAGCTGTAAATGTAGTTGTGGAGAATGGTATATTAGGAAAACTTTTTCTTGGTCTCTTTGGTTAAGACTTCTTTGAACAAATATAAAGACACTTGTGTTGAAAGAGTTTCAAATGTCTCCAAATGTTTTATACTTAAAACTTGGCCAAAGATCAAAGTACTGTGAGGGAAAACTATTTGAATATGAATGAACAAAGTTCTACTTAAACCACTGTCTCACATATTGTCTTCCCTGACAATTGGAAAATATAAGGTGCTTCAGATTTGCTTAAAATTAACCCATCGGGCAGGGTGACTGGGTATAGATGAAACAAAATTAACCATGTATTGATAATTTTTGTAACTTTTTTGAAGCCGGGTAATAGTTATATTGGATTCATTTGACTATGCTTTCCACTTCCGTGAAAAATTGAAATCTTTCCTAATAAATCATTTAAAAAACTACCTTGAAACAACACTTTATTACTTGGAATAACATATGATGTGCAAATATTCCTTAGGTTTCATGTATTATTTTCTGAAGCATTTGAACACTATTGCTTCACCATATATGAGGTAAAAAATTATACAGTTCAAAAACTGAACACGAAACAGAAAACAAAGTATATTTTAATGACTAGACAGACTACATATAGTCTTTACTCTTAAATTTCTTCATCTAACTTTCAGAGCAGTGTTTGTAAAACCATGTTTCCCTAAAGGTATCTCTGAAACCACTGAGGGAATGAATGGGTGGAGAGCAGGGCTCCGTGTCTCCCATTTGCTCTAAAAGCAGCTATGGTTTTGTATATTTCATATTCCGATGTTCTACACCTACAACTGTTTGGAACAAAAGAGTTCCCTGCTTTGAACTAGTTACACAACCACTGATCTTAACTGGGCGTCTTAACTGGCTCAGCTCTGGAACATCAGGGAGAATGGGCCACTCCTAATTGTTCCAAGGGCTAGACAGAATGAAATAAGGGCCAGTTAAAAACAGAAAATGTTTATCTGCTCTAACAAATTATTTTCCTAATTGAAACATATTCAGTTACATCAGTCTTTAAATTAAAATGAAATTTTATTTACCTTACTTATATATAAGACATACAAGCACATTAGGAACTTAGGTGAATATATAATTCATTTGTTTTTTTCAAAATAAATTTCAGGGATTTAAGTATGTACTATAAAAGATAAATAAAATCCAAATTCCTTTTTAAGATGTAATTTAGCCTAACGTAATACTGAATAATGCTGTTTCTAACGCTTATTTAGTCAAATTTCAAAATTACTTTTAAGCAAACAGTGACAGAGTTGGTAAAAACAGTTGCAATTACTTCTCAGCATATCAATGTATAGCAAAATTTTCTTACTGAAATACAATAGAAACCTCAGATTTTGATGTGTATGAACTGGAGCTTGTGGTTCTTTTGACTGGTATTACACTAAGATTTACTTTTGTAGTATGTTTGAGAAATTAAACTATTTCTGTTTATGGTGACGGAAAATTTAGCAGTGGAGATTGGTGGTGGTTATACAACATGATTGTTGTAACTGGCGTCACTGAATTTCACACGTTAAAGATGATGAATCGGTAACGTGTTATTTACATTTTTACGATAAAAAAATTGACTTTCAGAATTTAGACATTATTACTTAAATTTCAAAAATATATGTTTTCTGGGTAAAGTATGCAGTTTCACAAAAACATAATAAACTCAAAGCAATCTGTCTATAGTCAACGAATATAAATTATACGTAAATTGTTATCATTAGCTGTCGCAGAGGTAGCCTCCGCCTTATGATGACTACACACACCATGGATGAAACACTGTCCACACCGCTATGGTTCATAGGGCTTTAAAAAAATGGCTGATTTTCAGGAAGTAGATCACCAGGCCTTTCTTCCTAGTGCATCTTAGCCTGGAAGCTCCATTGAAAGTAGTTCAACATCACAGCCACACACACTGACAGAGGGGCAGTGGTCTGCATGAGGTGCGCTGGCTGGGAATTGCACTCGGGTCTACCGCATGAAAGGCGAGAAGTCTACCACTGAACCACCAAATCTGAAAATTAGTAGTTATCAAATTTTACATCAAAGTTTTCTGATCAGAATGTTTCAATTAATTTAAAGAACCTACTATTGTAGTAAATAGCTTGTTAAAGATTTTTTTTTTTCCCTAGACTATTTTTACCATCAAAACAATTCTTTAAAGCAATTGCCAGTTATCTTTGGTAATGAAGTCTCTGAGTTTTGATCCTCTCATCTGTAAAACAGGATTTAGAGACTGATTGACCACTTAAGTTCATTTAAAGTTTTAAACACCGTGATTCCATGAATGTAATAAAATGATTTTAAGACCACTGTCAATTTAGTAAGATTTTAAATTCAACTCTATGTTACAATAAATGGCCTTGAAACAATTTCTGTACAATAAAATTATATGAAGATATAAAACCACCACCATAAAAAAAAAATTCAGAGATTTCTAAAGATCAGAGAGTAAAATACATTTGCTTGTACATATGGATTATGCTTTTAAAAAATATAACTCAGTAGAATTTAAGATTTTGATGATATTATTTTTACATAATTTTCTAATTTAATATAATTAATAGAAATTCTTGGGGAAAAACAATAAAGCATTTGGTGATTTAGATAATGTCTATAGAAGTCATTACTAGTTTTAAAAAAATTTTTTTGGATTATAATATGCTACTCCATGTGTTTTTCATTGTAAAATTTCTGAATTTAAAAGTCAGAAATTGAACGTCATGAAAATAAATTTTTATAGTAATGTATATCATGAAATTTCTGAAAGATGTAAAGAAATGTAAGGCTATTTACCTACAGATACTGCAATTCCTACGTAAACCATCGTAGTAATTAAAATGGCTAAAAGAGTTCCTTTGGGTATGGCTGACTGAGGATCCTAAAAGACAAGAAAATTTTTTAAGTCTATCTTTAGAAGTATACATGTACCATTTTTTTTTATTCATCAATACAGTACTTTAGAATACTTACTGCAAGATCACCTGAGATATTTGCTCCAGCCAGAATACCAGTTGCAGCAGGAAAAAAGATGGCAAATACAGAAAAGAAAGTCTCTTCCTCTCGAAAATCTGGTCCAAAGTTCTCATTAAATATTTCTGCTGTAAAGAACGAAATATTTTTGGCAATTAATAGATAGCAGACTTAGACCATAGTAATTTAGTTTAAGAGTAACTGACTTGTACATATGATGCCCAACTTCTCCTCACTTCATCATCAGTAAATTTTTACAAGTGTCATAATTATTCAGTGGTAAATATTAAGCCAAGTATTAGTGCTGGCCTTTTCTTACATGCAGCTCTGGTGGTATAGTGGTTGAGAGCTCGGCTGCTAGCCAAAAGGATGGCAGTTCAAATCCACCAGCCACTCCTTGGAAACCCCATGAGGCAGTTCTACACTGTCCTATAGGGTCGCTATGAGTCGGAATCAATTCGACAGCAACAGGTTTAATAACAAATGGTAATAAATGTACTGATGAAAATAGGATTTTGCGATAAAGAATAAGAGGGAGAATTGAACTTAATGTGGTTAGAGAAGGCTAAAGACATAGGACTAAGGAGATAATATTTAAGCTGAGGTTCTACTGAGCAAGAATCAGCCTCATGAAGATCAGAGGGAAAGCATATACTAGGAATAAGAGACAACATAAAGGCCCTGAGGTAAGAAAAAGTGTAGCTCTTTTGAGAGAGTAAATGAAGGCCAAGCTGTTAGTGAGAGGGGAAATGAAATGAGATTGGAGAGATCAGCAGGGGTCAGATTTGCAAAACTTTATAAGAGTTTATATCTATCACCTTTTGTTCCCAAGAATGCAAAATGGAAGGTGTAAAAAAAAGTGATTTTTATTCCAATTCTACAGCCTACATAAAGGAGATAAAACTAAATTAAACTATATATTAGTATGAGTCACCGGACTAAACTCAATTACACTGCAAAATATTGAAAATGTACTAAAATTAATTATAAAATGCTCTGGTACCCCAGGTATCCATCAACAGATGAATGGATAAACCAAATGTGGTATATACATATAGGGGAATATTTTCTGGCAACAAAGAGGAACAAAGTTCTGATACATGCTATGACATAGATCAATCTTGAAAACATCATGGTGAGTGAAATCGTAAGTCAGACACAAAGAGGCAAGTATTGTATGATCCTATTTATATGAAATATTTATAAGAGGCAAATGCACAGGGACCAAAGTTTATTAGTGGTTACCAAGGAATGGGAAATTATTACTTTAACAGATACTGAGTTTCTGTCTGGGGTGATGAAAAACTTTTGGAAACAGTGGTGATGGTGGCACAATATGGTGAATGTAATTAGTGTCACTGAATTGTACACTTAAAATGGTGAAAACAGAAAACTTTTTGTTATATGTATTTTACCACAATAAAATTGGGGGAAAAAAACAACAACAACCTTTTAGTATCCATAACTTTTGAGATTTTAATAGCAAAGAGTTAAGATTAGCTTCTATTGAATAATAAAATGCTAAAATATGCACCTTAAAAAATAGATATTCTCTCTTTTTTACTTACATTTATAACCAAAGAAACCTTTGGGCTTCTTGCTCTCCAATGGGATAAACGTTCCTATGACAAAATCGGCAATAGCAAGCAGCAGAATCACCAAAAGAACAATTTGAGCCTAGAATTTTAAACATTAAAAATAAAAATCAAGTATCCTGTGTCTATACATTATAACTTAAATATAACTAATATATAACTTTCACAAGGAAAAGGATTTCTCATTTTCCCATGGCCTCAAGCAGTGTCAATCACATAGTAAGTGCTTAAAAACTCTGTTAAATGAACAGCTCTAAAGAACTATCCTAGAGTGTTCGATACGCCAGAAAAAAAAAAGACAGCAAAAGTAGGATCGTGCCATATTTTTTTGAAATGACCTGAAGATGTGCATGCCCTCCCACAACCATAAAGCATCACTGTAAATGTGTAAACACTATAGGCTTTTCATCCTACATACTCTTCCCTATCACTTCCACCTTACCACTATAATCTTGACATGAAAGCATATTTGCCACAAACACAGGTTTTACAGCAGGTGCAAACATAATGTTGAACGTGTAAATGCTACAGGAAAGGGGGGAGAAGAAAGATATGGAAGGAAGGACAATACCTCTTGGGGAACAGGATTGGAAGGAAGAACAATCTATCAGAACTACCAGTTCCCCTCCTCCACTCTTAACTTCCAAATAAATCTGAACAGACACTCATGAAAAACTATACTATCTGTGGGAATAAGAACTACTTATATGCTAATCGTGCCCCAGGTAGTATGAAATATTATTCTTTCAACAAAGTAAATTTGTTAAAGATATAAATGATTTAATTCTATACTAATATGACTTTAAAATAAATAACACACTTGGAAAAATTATTCCTTCAGACTGTCCTGAATTTTTGGTTAGGTAAATATTATATCATAGCTCATAAATATAAATAACAGATATGTGATTTTTATATGACCCACGAAAGTAAACCTGAGAAACCTGGGACTTCTGAGTTCCTCAGTAGCATCCCTGTGGATATTCACTACTCAGGAAACGAGAGCTGTATTGTAGCATCCTCTGACTCTCAAAGATATGGAAACATTTTGGGGGCTTTTCCAATAGGTTAACACATGACTTCAACATTATTTTCTGGAAACAGTGGCACTGGCTTTGGTACCCATGACTTCTGATATTTCAACAGCAAGGAGTAAGACTAGCCTCAGATAGGTATTAACTTTCAGTTTATTGCCACATATTTATTTTTAAATTGACACTGTAAATAAATTACAAAGCCAACAGTTTAATTTGGGCTACCTAATATACTGACCTGAGCATTTCTAGATAAGCGTAAACCAAGATCAGGGTGGAGAGGCAGGAAGTTCAAAATTTAGAAAGTACTGTGTTTAACTGGATCCTAGACTGTTACCTCCAAATATTCCACACCTTGTCAAACAGAAAAAAGCCTTATACGCAAACTTTTGTGAAAATGGCCACTTAGGAATCACAAGAATCTGAAAACACCACCACACTTTAAAGCATTCCCAAAACATAAGCTCTTAAAGTTCATATATTAAATACCTACAGATGTTCCTATCATCACTTACTTTTGCTTCCCATTCCATTCCAGCTACGGAAATACCTAAAAGGACCACCACTGTAATGGCTCCAATAATTCGGATATCATTGATTTCATCTATCATAAGTATGGAATGTTCCTAGAAAAAAAGAATTATACATTTGAAGTGCAATATTAGTTATTTTACATAAACTCTTTAATTCTTTTTGAAACGTTTTAGAGATATGACAGCACCTTAAATGTAGAAGATGAATAAATGCTTATTTAACGAATAAACCCATTCCATCAAGTTGATTCCGACTCATAGCGACCCTATAAGACAGAGTAGAACTGCCCCACAAGATTTTCAGGGCTGTAAATCTTTACAGAAGCAGACTGCCACATCTTTCTCCCATAGTGTAGCTGGTGGGTTCAAACTGCCGACATTTCAGGTAGCAGCCAAGCACCAAACCTCTACACCACCAATACGGAAATCTAAAGAAAAGTACGTAGTTAATTAACATTTACTATTGAGGTGTCATTCAAGTATCTGGTGACAATAAAAAATAAGATCAAATTATTAATATTGCTATATTTAACGTACATTAAATACAACAACTAAGCAAATAAAAAGAAAAATCATAGTATGACTAAGTAGTTCTGATAGCTAAGATTTTTTAAAGTTACTTGGTAGAAATAAATTTTATATCCAAGGTGATCAGTGAGCTCATGTTCTTAATGGGTCTTTTATGTTGCATAAGGAAGACAGATTAACACACCTTCACGCTGTTGTCCAAAAACACACACTGTTCTCATTTTATGAGCAAAATTATTTGTAGTTTAATTATCAATGACATTTTTTTTAAACTACCATTTAGATCCAAATAGTTAAGGACTGTGATAGTCTAGTCAACTAAGTAAAACAGCTATGTATGAATTAACTACTTTTCAAATAACTGTGATAGTCTATTCAACTAAGTAAAACAGCTATGTATGAATTAACTACTTTTCAAATAACGTAATAAAAGGCAGAACATGCACTGTAACAAATCTTTTTGATAACTCAGGATGACTGAGCCATATTATGACTGAAAAAAGTGGAAATTATAAGAATTTTACAAACTTGAGTCTCTAAAAAAATAAAAAGTAATTTTATTAACGCTTTTTAAAAAAAAAACTTTCATAAAAGTCAACTACAAGAAAGAAAAAACATTTGTTTGAATTCCAGATAAATAAGTTTAGTACAAAAACTAGGGAAAAAATAAATCCAGATCCAAAGATATTCTTGCCAGCCAAAGGTAACAGTCATCCCTCAGTATCCACAGGGGATTGGCTCCAGGACCCCCTCAGATACCAAAATCCACAGATGCTCAAGTCTCTTACATAAAATGGTATAGTATTTGCAAATAACCTATGTACATCCTCCCATATACTTTAAATCATCTCTAGATTATTTATAATACCTAATACAATGTAAATGCTATGTAACTAGTTGTTTCACCACAACTGAAGGTAGCCTTTCTCTTCTGAGTTTTTTGAGCTCTTCTGGGAATGATGATGCTGCCTGGGCATCAGTCGAAGCTGATTCTCCCATGATCATGAAATTCTTGAGGCTGTAGTGATTTACACAGGTAGCCAGCTGGCCCTTACTATCCTTAAAACTCCTTCCTCTCCCTCTCCTCAACCACCTCACACTTAGCTGCAAAGGGACTGCTCTGACCACTTAATCACTTTTGAGGAGCCATTTTTTCATAGAAACAGTGCACACAACACAAGCAGCTAACGAACGAGACGTGAGGTGAACAATGCTCAAACAAGGAGTGCTGGAGAGAGACTGAGGATGCGCGGAACGGCAGGAGGCTACAGCGGCGGATGCCTACACATCATTTCATTTGCATGGATCCAGCATGAGGCAAATTCAAGTTTTGCTTTTTGGAACTCCTCGTGCCCCCCCACCCCTGCAAATATTTTTGATTCGCAGTTGGTTAAATCCAGATGCAGAATCTGCATATACAGAGGGCCACTGCAGAGTAGGAAAAAACATTTCCTGGCTTTTCTGAAGTAGGATCTCATTTAATTTCATAAAACAGTGTGTACTCTTTACTTTGCAAAAAGTTCTTAGTGTTGTTGAAATTTGACATCTACTGAATTAGTCTGATGTTCTCCATAGCACTTGGATACTCATACCTGAAAATTACTTGCAGAAGAGACCAAAAAAAGGTAGTAGTATAAATATGTATCTAATGATTGGTTTTGAGATTCATGGATCACTACACACTATAATATTTCATGTATCAAATCTAGTTTTAAGTACTTGGTTTGAATTTGGTTAACTCCCTCTTAATTTTGCATGAAATAAAAACATTTTTAAACACTAATTAAATACACTGATAAGAATTCACAAAGTAAACTTTAATCTTTGAGTCTCAAATAAAAACATACTAAATTAAACAATATTTGCTTAATTAGAGCCCTTAATATTCAATATCCCTTTGGTCTACACAGGTGAAGGTCAATACCAACGTAGGTGTCAGTCTGTTCAGATTTTATACTTCCTAATGCACCAGAGGAGCCCTGGTGGTGCAGTGGTTAAAGTACTCAGCTGTTCAAACCCAGCAGTCACTCCACAGGGGAAAGATGTGGCAGTCTGCTTCTGTAAAGATTACAGCCTTAGAAACCCTATGGGGCAGCTCTACTCTGTCCTATAGGGCAGCTCTACTCTGTCCTATAGGGTGGCAATGAGTTGGAATTGACTCAATGGCAATGAGTTCGGTGATTTTGGTTTAATGTACCACATACTATTGTGAAAGAAAAGTTACAACCTAACCTAACATGAACAATTACAGGTGTTGAGGTTCTTCTCATCTAATCATACTGAGGAATCCTATTTCACTCCTACTGCTTCAATCACAGGAAACCCTGGTGGCATAGTGGTTAAGAGCTATAGCTGCTAACCAAAAGGTCGGCAGTTCAAATCTACCAGGCACTCCCTGGAAATGGTGTGGGGCAGTTCTACTCTGTCCTATAGGGTCGCACATCCCAATGACTCTTGAATTTTCTCTCTTTAAACATGTTCTCTTGTGAACTCCACAGCAGTATTATCAACTGCCTTCTGGCCAGTTCTCCTTGGATATAACCCTGATCCTTTAAATTAGTACATCTAAAACTAAATTCTGTGTTCTCTGTCTCACAATAAATGGCATTACCTTCCACCTAAATGTTGAAGTCAGAATTTGTATATAAACTGGAAATTTTCCTTTCTCTAATTCCCCAAATCTAATCAATTATCAAGTTCCACTGGTTCAACTTCTTTAAAATCTCTCAAGTTCATCCACACCTCTCTAGCTCCACTGGCCATTGTCTTAATTTAAGCCACCATCTCTTCCCTGGGGACAGCTACTCTTAAGTGATCGCTGCCTCCAGTTGTGATTCCTTGAATTCATTCTCCATACTGTGGTCGGATATTTCTGATTGTGTCATGGTCCCTAATTCCAATCAAGACCCATAAATTATACACTTAAAACTGCAACAACAAAAAAAATGACTCAAAACTGTAAACAAGACGTTCTTGAGCCATACTTATTTAGTTTCTTTAATGCACTACATTCTACCACTTTCAAGTTTTTGTTTCCTTTACTTCCTTATCCCCTCATGCCCTAGCCTATCACTCCTCAACATTTGCCTGCTAATGTCTAGACTCCCCTCCTTAGAAAACCCTTTCTTGACACTCAACCACCCCCATTCCTGAATAATAAGTTAAATGCTTCCCAGCTCTGTGTTGCAAGACCTCTTATATTACCCACTTCTCATATTCCATAATAATGTTTTTCTTTGTCTATTTCCCCTGCTAAATGTCTTTAAGGACAAATTCCTTGTATCTCACTGCTTTTCAAGCATCTAACAGAATGCATGCCACACAGCCCTCAATAACAACCTGGTAAATGAATGACTGAAAGTGAATTACCTTAAGCAACTCCACCACAGTTTCTGCAAATCCAACCACATACATAGCAACTGCAACAGCATTAGCAAAAGCGAAGATCAGGCCAATTGCACCACCAAATTCAGGCCCTAGACTTCTAGATATTAAATAATATGCTCCTCCTAAAAAAAAAAAAAGAAAAAAAAGTACTGAAATTAGGATTTAAACACCGTTCTTACTTTGAAATGTTTAATTCCACAAAAGAGATCACAAAGCAGATGCCAACAATAAGCATAGCAGTTAAATTAACAGGCAAGTAGGTGAGTGTATTTTCAGGAAGAAAACATCCCAAACAGAATACTTCACAACCCATTTCATTCATTAAGTTCTCCCCATAGCTAATATAATATTACCTGCTATTTAAATCCTAATTTTTTCTTCTAAAGCTTAGATTAAAATGGGAAACAGCTAATCAGCTTCCTCCTCATAATCAGAGATATAAAGATCATTTCCCAGTGATTTTCTAAATATTTTTAATTCTAATGTAACCTTTAAAATCATAGTTGACATGATTCCAGTTACTTACATTAGTATATTAATTTGCTGGTAATGTGAAGACTACGCAAAAAGAAAAAGTTTCACAATGAACTGCAAAGAACAGCACACACTGGCATTGCAAAGAGATATATCTGTATTCTAATAAATCCTGCTAGGTCATAATTATAAACTTAGTTTTAATAATGTGGAAATTACATGAAGTTATATACATTTTTCTAGACACTAATGAAATACCTAATTCTTAACATTATAATGAAATGCCAGTAAACAGCTCAATATTTGTTTCTACTGGTCTACCAGCAGAAAGAAGACAAATGCATGAATAAACATATGCACATTCATGTTCACTGCAGCATTATACATAATAACAAAAAGATGGAAAAAACCTAAGTGCCTATCAATAGATGAATGGATGAACAAACTATGGTACATATACACAATGGAATACTACACAATGATAAAGAACAATAATGAATCTGCAAAACATCTCACAACATGGATGAATCTGGAGGGTATTATGCTGAGTGAAATAAATCAATCACAAAAGGACAAATATTGTATGAGACCACTAATATAAAAACTCATGAAAAGGTTTATATGCAGAAAGAAACAATCTTTGACGGTTATGAGGAAGGGAAGGGGGAGAGGGAAAAACACCAACTAGACACAGGTAAGTAGTAACTTTGGTGAAGGGTAAGACGGTACACAATACTGGGGAAGTCAGCACAACATGACCAAGGCAAAGTCACAGAAGATTCACAGACACATCCAAACTCCCTTAAGGACCAATGTACTGGGGCTGAGGGCTGGGGACCATGGTCTCAGGTGACATCTAGCTCAACTGGCATAACATAGTTCATAAAGAAGATGTTCCACATCCTACTTTGATGAGTAGTGTCTGGGGTCTTAAAAGCTTGTGAGCAGCCATCTAAGATACTCCATTGGTCCCACCCCATCTAGAGGAAGGGAGAAAGAAGAAAATCAAAGACACAGGGAAAGATTAGTCCAAAGGACTAATGGATCACAACTACCACAGCCTCCAGCAGACGAGTCCAGCACAACTAGATGGTGCCTGGCTACCACAGCTGACTGCTTTGACAGGGATCACAATAGAGGGTCCTGGACAAAGTGGGAGAAAAATGTAGAACAAAATTCTAACTCACAAAAAAAGACCAGACTTACTGGTCTGAGAGAGACTGAAGGAATCCCAAGAGTATGGTCCCTGAACACCCTTTCAACTCAGTATAAAACTCACTCTGAAGTTTACCCTTCAGCCAAAGATTAGACAGGCCTATGCAACCAATGTCACAAAACAATATGTGTATTAATTGTTTAATGAGAAACTAATCTGCTCTGTAAACTTTCACCTAAAGCACAATTTTAAAAAAATGCAACAAAAAATTCTGCAGCTGATAATATACTGCATATCCACATTTCATTCTGGAAATATCTGTAAAAGGTTTTATAGTTAATTCTACCAATTCTCTCAAAATATTCTATACTTTAAATCCATCCAAGTAAAACTCCCTTAGTTATGCACTTTACCAATTAATAATATTCATCATCTTGGAAATCCTGGAGGAAAACATGCAATCTGAATCACTTAATATTAATCTCATGTGATTTTTTTTTATGAGATGAACATGACTTAAAACTTTTCCCAGAAATCTTTTTGAACACTAAAATTCCAATCGACTATTATATTGTGAGAATTTTGCAAGACACATAAAGATCTCAGAATAAGTTCTGAAGATATTAAATCATATTACAATTAATCACATAGAAAACTATAATTATCAGTATATTATCATGTTTTCAAAATTCACATAAATTATTTAATTTAATCTCAATACTAATAAGAATTAAAACAAGTATTGTTTATCCTGATTTTACAGATGAGAGAATCATAAAGGTTAACTGAAATCAAGGCAACCACTCAGTGTTTCAATAGTTGATAATATAAAGTTTAGAATCAGAAATGTCATCAATAGTACCTATAAGAGCAATGAATTCATTTGTTATGTGCTATAAAGTTTTGATTTTATAAAATTTCGAGTTTTTCTCTTAGTAAGAAGAAAAGAAAAACAGACTCTAAGATGTATTTAGCTTGGAGAAGAAGAATGAGAAGGGGAAATGCACCTTGGGAATGATGATCAAGTCTGACCTTTGTAGAACTATTTTAAAATCTTCCACAAATGAGGTTAAGTTCTGTTACTTTTTAAAATATTTGTATTTTGTTTGTTGTCAAGAAAATAAGAAGTGATGTATAAAGACTATAAAAGCATCTGCTCATCTTGCATCCTCTACTTTTACTCCTCCATAAAAAAGAGAATTATAAAGATATCCTCCCTCCTTTCTCTCTTCTTCATGGCCCACATCTGGCCATAAAAGACCCTAACTTCTGAGTGTGGAAAATATAAATGAATCAGATGCAGGTTACACTATTATTACATATCGATTTGCGGACATATGTTCTGTACCTCTCATAAAATCCCAAATCAATAACCAAAACCCCAAAGACGTTAATCAAGACCCTAAGATTAAAAACTGATTATCAGCCATAAAGAAGTCTCAATAAATTCTGAACTGAAATGATACAGTGACTATTCCTGACCAGAACAGAATTAAATTAAATCTACTTCCAATACACACTTAGAATTTCTGGCATCTGAATTTTTAACTTAGATGAAATGGACAAATTCCTTGAAAAACAAAGTATCTAGGACTGTAACAAGAAGAAATAGTAAACTGGAAAAACCCAATAGCTGTCAAAGAAATTGTTTGTAATAAAAATATCCTCTCCCCCCCACCCCCCCAACACACACAAACTACAGCCCAGATAGCTTCACTGGTGAGAAAAAAATAAGGTAAGATCAATCTTTCACAAATTCTTTCAGAAAATAAAGGAAGAGAATGCTTGTCAACATCTCTTATAGATGAGCATAATCCTGACACCAAAATATGTCAAAGTTATTACATCGCAAAAAGGATTAATATCTAAGATGAAGTGGGGTTTTTCCTGACACATGCTATGTAGAAACCATGTAATTTGGAACTCTCATACATTGCTGGTGGGAATGCAAAATGACACAGTTTTTGGGAAAAAGTCTGGCAATTTCTTATAAAGTTAAGCATACACATACCATTTAATCCAACAGTCCCACTCTTTGGCATTTACCTGAGTAAAATGAAAACCTATGTTCACACAAAAACCTATACAATTATAGTGGCTTTGACTGTAATAACCAAAAACTGAAAACAACCCAAATATCCTTCAAATGGGGAATGAATAAACAAACTGGTATGTCTAGACAATGGAATAATACTCACCAATAAAAAGGAACAATCGAGTAATAAACACAAAATGGATAAATTTCAAAAGTATTCTGCTAAGTGATGTAGTACTGAGAAGGATACATACCATATGATTCTATTTATACAATATTCTGGAAAAAGGCAAAACTACAGTATTTGACAGCAAATGGATCAGTGGCTGACAAGGGCTGAGGGTAGAGAAAGGGACTTACTACAAAAGAGGCATGAGGAAGTTTCTGGTGTGTTTGAACTGTTCTGTTTTGATTGTGGTGATGGTTATACAACTATCTGTATTTGTCAAAACCTACAGAATTGTACTCTAAAAATTGTGAATTTTATTATACCTAAAGTTCAACTTAAAAATGAAAATTAGCTGGAGAAATATACAATATACTTAGAATACACTTCTACAGTTTAATTGGTAGACATTTGAGTCTTTAAGTCTTCAATGTTTAAGCTATTCCATAACCTAATTTTTAATAGTATGCATTTATTACTTTTATAATCACAAAAATTAAGAAATAGTGGGAGCTTAAGAATCACAGGTCTTGTTGGCTCAGATGGTATACTCATATGGTATTTTAGACACTTTTAGCTTCACCCACTTAAGGAATTTCAATATTAACTAATCATAAAAAGACTCAAGAAGATTTCTACTACTAAAAAGTTCAAAAAGTTGTTAAATGATCTACCAAACAGAGGAAAATGCAAAATTTGCATCCAGACATCTTTACTTATGAAATGATCAATATATGTAATAAAAATCATCTACGTAATCTCCCATCAACGGACGAATGGATGAACAAATTGTGGTATATCCACACAGTGGAATACTATGCAACGATAAAGAACAATGATGCAGCCGTGAAACATCGTACACATGGAGGAAACTGGAACTTATTATGCTGAGTGAATTTAGTCAGTCACAGAACAACAAATACTTTATAAGACCACTATTATAAGAACTCAACAAAAGGTTTAAACACGTAAGAAAACATTCTTTGATGGTTATGAGGGTGAGGAGGGAGGGTGAGGGTTAGTTACTAACTAGATAGTAGATAAGAATCATCTTAGGCGAAGGGCAGGACAGCACACACTACAGGGGAAGTCAGCACAACTGGACTAAATGAAAGCTAAGAAGTTTCCTGAATACAATCAAATACTTTGAGGGACAGAGTAGCAGGGGTAGGGGTCTGGGGACCATGCTTTCAGGGGACATCTAGGTCAACTGGCATAACAAAGCTTATTGAGAAAATGTTCAGCATCCTACTTTGGTGAGTGCCATCTGGGGTCTTAAAAGCTTGCAAGC